GAGGAAGAGGTAGGCCAGCTCAAAAACGGGCCTAAAGGCACGGAGGGCTTTCAACGGGGATCTCCTGCTGGAGATTCCCGGGGGACCAGATGCGGAGGCCAAGGCAAGTCGCCTGGCCTCCGCAATGAAGGTAGCCCTTGAGGGGTTCGAGGGGGTGGAAGTGTCCCACCCCTCGAAGAAGCTTGACCTCCGGTTAACGGGGGTCGAGGAATCGGTCTCCGGAGAGGAGATCCGCGGCGCTATAGCTAGCGTGGGCGGATGCTCCGAGCCGGAGATCCGAATTGGGCCACTGAGGCCGACAGCCCAGGAGGTGAGGACCGTTTGGGCCCAATGCCCGGCGCGTGCGGCTGTAAGGGCAGCGGAGGCTGGGGTCATCGTGATAGGGTGGTCCCTGGTGCGGGTGGGCCTGCTGAAAAGCCGGCCCATCCGCTGTTTCCGCTGCCTAGCACAAGGCCACGTGCAGCAGAGGTGTCCGTCCAAGGTGGACAGGGCCCTCTGCTGCTACAACTGCGGTGAAATGGGGCACAAGGGGGGGACATGTCAGCGTCCCCCCCCCGGTGTCCAATTTGTACGAGGGCGGGGAAGGGGGCGAAGCACAGGGCCAGATCGGAGGCTTGTCCTCCGATCCCCTGCGCCCCGGGTCCCCGCAACAAGAGGGTGGTGACTCCTCCCCCGGTGCCCGGTGGGGCCACCACGCGCGTTCCGCGGGTGGTCCTCACGGACATACGGAGGTTGGAGAAAATTTCGCGGGTGAGGTCCCCGGAGCCGGACCCTAGCGGGGTCGGCTTATGCGTGGGCGCCAGGGTCACGAGGGCGCAGTCCTCGCGGACCCTGGCGGAAAAGCGCCCCAGGGGCAGTGGGGGGGGGGAGAGAAAATAAGCCCTCCCCTCCAGCCCCTTAAGGTGCGGGCCCTCTCCGCACCTCGGCTGTCCCCGGGTAAACCGGGCCCGAGGTGTCGGAGGGGGCGAGGGAGGGTCCCCTGCGAGGCGGGCAGAATCAGACCATCCCCCCTCGGATTGAGGGGGATTAGATCTCTGTTTGCCCTTGTAGGCGGGACCGTAGGGCCGAGGCCCAAGGGGTTGTTTTACTTTGGAGGCTTGGGGGGGAGTTAGATCTCCCCCCACACATTTTTAGATGGAGCCGGGAAACCGGTAGGTCGGGGGGTGGCCGGATGTAATGCAATGCAGTTCCCGGCCATCCCCCAATGAACGACGGCTGAAGGCCAAGCAACGGGGGTGGAGTTTAGTTGGTAGGCGCCTGGGAGTCAAAGGTTTCTTTGAACTCCAAATCCCAGGCGAATCCAACACTACCCTTTGGCAGCGAGTTTGAGAAACTCGCATTGCACGCCAGAGGGTGTCTTTGGAAGATTCTCCACCCCCGGTGGGGGGGGCTATCGCCCCCCCACAAAAAAAAAAAAAAAAAAGGATCTTTATGTTAATATAATAGAAAATAAAAAAAAATAAAAATCATTATTGTAACATATTATTAAATAAATATATATGATGTTACATGTTATTCAATAAATTAATTTTGTTAATAACTTAATAAACAGCAAGCGCCAGCTTAGCTTAAAAGCTTAGTTTAGCTTAGTTTAACCTTTTGGGGATTATTCAGGGCTGTGACCTCGATATGTCAAGATCAGTCATTGGAACTGCATCCTTTATGCATAATTACAATTGCCTTCACAAAATTCAACCATCTTGAGCAATTCATCAAAACCAAAAAAAAATACGTTAGATCGCATTGTGGAGCAGTATACAAAATATTATAAAGAATGTAAAGCTACGTGTGAAGGAGTGGTTAGAAAAACATATGTTACAAATTAAAAAAAAATTTTTTTTTAGAAAAAAACATTGAATATGATTATGCAAAAGTGATCATGTATTTATTTAACTCTTATTTTGTTCAAAATATGATATTAGTGTTTCATAGTTTGAATTTTACCTTTATTTTTTGTGGAAGAACGTTGAATGTTATAATACTGACATTTGAGATACAACTGGTGGCGGATAAAGAAAATATGAAAAAATGTTATATGTAAAGTAAAATACTTTGAATAGCTCTTAAATATGAACATGTGTGGTATTCTTAGTTTTCTATAAAATTTATAAAATATAACGCAATTTTTTTTCAGTTACCATTCATATACGGGATAAACTAAACACCAATTACAAACAAGAAGCATTAAAAGAACATAAAGAAGATATTAACAAAAAGAATGCATCCCCTATCAGAAATGGTTTTCATAAAAAAACAAAATTCTTAATAAAAAAAAGCGACACTGAGCTATTCTCGAATCATATATTTAGGTATTAAGTTTGTTACCTCAATTACAATAGAATTTAAATTTCTAATATAAAAAATTTTTCCAATATGTTCATACATATCTCTCTACACACCTATCTGTTCGAGGAAACTAGATAATTCATGTTAATGTGACATGAGAGCTCAATAGCTGACAGAACACCAAAATATCAATATAACAAAGTAACATAACAGTTAAATTATTATTAAATACTAGACTACTATAACGTGTACAAAATAATCTAATTCTAGGTTTGCAATATTTTTAATTTTAATCAACAATATAGGGTAGTTCGAAAAGTTCTCGGCCTGACACAGAAAACACATGATTTTCGGCAAAATTTTTTTTTATTTTTTAACATAGTCCCCTTTCAACTCAATACACTTATTCCAACGATATTCTAACTTTTTTTATACCATCTGTATAATAAGATTTCTCTAAACCTTCAAAATAAGCATTAGTTTCATCGATTACTTCGATATTTGAGCCAAATCTTTTTCCAGCGAGCCATTTCTTCATGTTTGGAAAGAGAAAAAAGTCACTGGGGGCTAAATCTGGTGAATACGGCGCGTGCGGAACCAATTCGAAGCGCAATTCATACAATTTTGCGACTGCAATCAAAGAAGTGTGAGCGGGTGCATTGTCATGATAGAAAAGCACTTTTTTTGCCAAATGAGGACGTTTAGCCTTAATAGCATCGTTCAATTGATCCAATAATGCTGTATAATATTTTCCGTTGATGGTTTTTCCTTTTTCTAGGTAGTCGATGAGCACAATACCATGAAAATCCCAGAAAACAGTTGCCATCACCTTTCCGGCTGATAAAACTATTTTCACCTTCTTTGAAGCACTTCCACCCGCTTCTACCCATTGCTTCGACTGTTGTTTAATTTCTGGCGTGTAATGGTGAATCCATGTTTCATCAACAGTGATAAAGCGCCGCAAAAAATCGGTTGGATTGCGTTTAAACATGTCCAAACACTCCTTAGAAACGTTCATTCGAATGCGTTTTTGATCGACTTAGCAAACGCGGCACCCATCGCGCTGAAAGCTTTTTCATATGCAAATCTTCATGTAAGATGTTGTGAACGCGATCATTTAAGATGTTTGCAATGTTAGCAAGCTCACGCACTTTTACTCATCGGTCATTCAACACGGCATTATGGATTTTTTCTATGATTTCGTCAGTCGTAGCGGTTTTTAGGCGACCTGAACGATCGTTATTTACGGACGTCCACGTTTAAATTCAGCAGCTCATTTCTTAACAGTTAAAAACGATGGTGAAGATTCTCCCAAAGTTGAATCAAGCTCATTTTTTATTTCTGTTGGCGTTAAACCTTTTAAAACGAAGTATTTTATCACTGCGCGATATTCGATTTTATCCATTTTTAAAGAAAACCAAAGGTTGATTGCTTTACACGACCAAAACAAAGAAACTAATGAACGCATCTGTCTGAAATTTTGACAGTAGCCCTCTACAGGATAAAACTTGCAAAAAATTACAGCGGTTTGATACTTCTAACGTCATTTCTGTGTCAGGCCGAGAACTTTTCGAACTACCCGTATATCTAATAACTTATAAAAAATTTCTTGCATAATTATAAAATTTTTTAATAATTGAAAATATGAACGAAGATAATTTGATGTAACAAAAACTCTGAAATAAACTTTTGTATAGCCACTACGGTGGCTATGATTTTGATAAAAAAGCGGTATCATACACAATTATTCAGACGCAGCATGTCTTAAAAACATCTGAAAGATATCTAAGTCTTTTTTCAGACATCTTTTAGACGTCTTTTAGATTTCTATGCTTATTTGTTAATTATATTTATATTTGTCGCAATCATTTTAGTTCCCTTTCGTGACTTTCTTCAATACATTTACATTATGGTATTAAAATCTATCTCATTTATTACTTCTAATGGTTCCTAACTGGTAACAACATTTTATATCATTAAATCATTTTAATATGATTAATGATTAAATCATTATAATATGATTCCCCATCAGTTCGCACCCAGACAACATGCATGTCATAAATATTGTCATCTGCTTTGGCTTAAAAGGCCATTGTTGTATAATTGTATAATTGTTGTATAATTTTTATTATTAAATAATATAAGCCTAAACATTTTAGTTTTATAAAAAGTAAAGTCTAAATGATCTATTCATATCACATTTCTTTGATCTTTTGATCTCACATTTCACTTGAAATATTGACATCCATTTAAGAATCACTTCGTTTACATACTGGTATGTGTCATGCCTCTCACAGAGCAAAATAAAGTAGAAAAGTTAAAGTAAGTTAGTTATATCTCTTTCTATTACACATTTCTCTTTTTGAATTGTTATTAAAAGTTCAGTTTCTATAGGTCATTCCAGTATTTATAATTTAGTAACTAGTACAGATTCGATTTTATATAATGGTTGTATTCTTAAAAATAGAAATTTTTAATATATTTACGAAGTAAAAAGAACTCGCTTATGTCAAGCTTAATTCGGATAATGTATAAAAATATCAATATGTATATAATAGCTTTTTAGTTAGATATTTCAATATAATAGCTTTTTAGTTAGATGTTTCAATAGATCTGCTACTGAATATCAATAATATATATAGAATGTGCATATTAATAATATAATAGAATACAAAAATAAGTTTATTAAAAATTTATGTCAAAATGTGCTTTACCTGAAAACATGGCAAAAAAGTTGTCTGAATCCATTGTAAGTGTTGCATCTGCTGGCTGGCTCGGTTCTCCTTTGCCAATTGCTCCGTTTCCATTTTTTAAATCCAGAAACCATGTACCAGATTCTTTTCCTAAAAATCATACATGTATAATACACACATACACACATGCGCGCGTAAACTTTTGTCTAAATTTTTTTCGAATAATGCATTTCTTCCCAGATATTTTAGATGGTTATTGGAAATTGATGATTATACAGGGTGTCAATTAAGTCCCGGGACGGCTGAATATTTTCTCATGTAAGGTATTTTTGAAAAAGGTCAAGGTCATTTCTGAAGTAATTTTTAACGAGGAATTCAACGGTGACCTTCAATTTGACCTTAAGCTTGACCTTCAAGGAGATTTTGGAATCAAAAATAGGGGTTTTTATTTAAAAAACCTAACCTAACCTTGAAATAACCTTGAAGGTCAAGCTCAAGGTCAAATTGAAGGTCACCGTTGAATTCCTCGTTGAAAATTACTTCAGAAATGACCTTGACCTTTTTCAAAAATATCTTACATGAGAAAATATTCAGCCGTCCCGGGACTTAATTGACACCCTGTATATGCACAGGGTGTTTAACAGCGTCCTCTTCAAAGAATTTTCTTCAAACTGTGATTTGAAATCACAGTTTGAATCAGAATTGTAAAAAACTGTGAATTTAAATCGTGATTTAAAAACAAATAGTACCTATTTCATCTCTCTTAAATTGACACTCTGGAGTTTAAAAAATGCATTTTTTAATATCACTACCCTTTGCAAATTTTTGGAAAAGCAAGTCTATTTTTTAAAATTTTCTTATGGAAAGTGTAAAGCGTTATTGTATTTAAATAAATAATTTTAAGAATAGCTCAAAAAATATGAGCGTTAGTAAGGTTTACGTATCTCTTTATTTTTATATCAAAAGTATATTTGGCTTGACCGAACATAGTAATGACTCTAGAAGATTTCGCGTAAGATTGGTTCCAAAACTGTTTATAGCAACTACACTCACAATTGTCTCTTATACAAGGGTATATTTTAATTTCAGATTTGAAAAAAAAAAAATAAGACGTTTGCTCTTGCTTTTTTTAAAATTTTAAAAAAATTTTTGAATTTTGGAGGCTTAAACTTTTTTAAGACACAAAAAAACTCGTGAAATTTTGCGCGCACAATTAACAATCTTAATTAATAAAATTAAAAGTAACGTGCCACACAAATTTACATTTTGTATAAAGAAAGGGAGGGGTCCCTCTTGACCGTAGAAAGAAAGCGGCTGGATGTATTTTCTTAACAGTTTCTTACGACAAAGTTATTTGAGTAATATATTATTTTAAAGGAAGACTTTTTAAAAAGCCTTTTTCTCCCTGTCAAAACTCCCCCTCTTCTTAAACAAGTTAAAAAAGGATTCTGGGAAACTAACTCCTTAATTTCAAGATCTTTTTTGAGCCCTTAATTTGAAAAGAGGTTTCTCAAAGAAAAGTCATAAGAATGTTAATTTTTATAAGACTTTTAAAATAAGGTATCACTTGGGAAAAGTCTACAGTGTATATATTTAGAGTCAGTTCCCTAGAATCCCTCTTTAAGCCGTAGTTTTGGAAAGAGATTTCAGAAAATAAGAGAAAATAAGGTACAAAAAAAGGTCAGTCTTCCTTTAAAATAATATAATATAATAATAGAATAACATGTCATTTAACCATCTTCATCGCAAAAAACTTCGAAATAACACATTAATAAGCCGCTCCTTTTTTATGGCCGAAAGAACGATTCTACCTCCATTCCTCATGCACAATGTAAACTTGTGTGACATATTGTTTTTATTTTTAATTAGACTGATTAAGATTACTAATTGTGCATGCAAAATTTCATGAGTCTTCCCGCATGTCTTAAAGAGGTTTATCTCCCAAAACCTCCCAAAACTCGAAAATTTCCAAAAATCCCAAAAGCAAGTTTTTTTTTTGAAACTTAAATCAAAATATATTCTTGCCATAAGAAAATTTTGAAAAATAAGCTTATCTCTTAAAAATCCATCAAGGAAAAGTCAAGAGAGGGGACTTAAAAATATTTTTTTGAACTTTAAAAGACCGATTTAAGGAAGGTAGGTATCATCTATTTTTATCAATTTCAAATCAGTTCAAAAAAAATTCTTCTGACAACACTTCTGAACACTTTGTCTCTCATTTCAAACAATCATTTTTCAAAATTTTTTTTGTTTTTAATTGTAGAAAAAAAAATTTCAGTCGAAAGTTGTATGGTCAGAAGATAAACCAATAATAGAAAAACAACAAAATCAATTTTCAAAAAAATAAATTTTTTAAAGTCACGTAAAAGTCACTAATACAATTCTAATTTTAGAAAAAATATTTCAGAAAAAAGTTGTATGGTTTAGAAGCGGACAAATAATGATGAAATTAATATTCGAAGAAATCAATTTTTTAAGGTCACCTTCAATTTTTAAAAATGGTATGTCTCGATTTTGATAGCAAATTTTTGTATGTCGATTTTCGTTTTCAAAGACTTGTAATTTTTCATATTTCTGTTGAAAACTCGTAGAAATGTAACATCGCGAATTTTCATCGGAAGATTTCATGATCGGATTTATATCTCTCTTGTGTGCGTATGTGTGCATGTGCAAGCACGCACACACATGCACATACATGCACACACGAATTGTCTTTTTCGCGGTATTTTCAGACTCCAAACTACCATACACTCTGCTGCGTGAGTAAATAAATAATCACATAATAAGTTATTGTTACGTCCTGACAGGACTCTACGATTCTTTTCTTTTACGCAAGTATTCCATTAGAAATAAAACCATATCTAGTAAACATGGTAAGTAATAAATTTCAAATTGTTTAAACGATAGTGATACCTAGTGATACGACGATAGGTAGCCTAGTGAGCCTTCGTAGGTTACTTTCTTTCACATTGCTTCTAACAAAGCAGTCAAAAAAATAATATTTAACGTATCAAGAATGACACACGAAATCATCCGAATCGCTAAAAGAAACCAGTGATAGTTTGAGAGAAAGAACTAATTTCAGAAACTAAAATTTAATCACCGCAACCAAGACTTCAGGCACCTTCAAATCTTAAGAAACAAATAAACAGAGCAAACAAAATGCAAACCTTAGACGTAGACAAGAGTTTTTCTTTCATAAACATAAATAATTTTAGTCCAAAAAGTTTGATACCGCTCAAGTGTTTGCCAAATTGGATATTTCACGCTGCGTTATCAATATTTGTTAAACACGGGCAGCCGTAAAGAACCCCACACAAATCTTATGGAAAGTGACCCCCGGTTAAATTTGCTGAAATTGCAGTATGTTATAGTCCTTGGTGTCAAAAGTCTGATCAAAAGTCTCAATGAACACAAAGCTTGAAAATCAATAGTTTTTCGTCTAGAGATGTTTGAAGTCCTAAACTTTTGCTATGCCGTGATGATATATTAGCTGTGATATAATGCCAGACTATGTGTGTGTCTGTGTGCTTAAGTGTGGGTTTTTTTTGTGTATATACGTGTGTGTGGGTTTGTGAGTATGGCCTGAGTATGTGTCTGCGTGTGTGTGTGGGTGTGAGCATGTGTGTGTCTGTATGTGCGAGTGGGTGTGTTCACATGAACACACCCACTCACACACACCCATATCCCCCCCCCCTCCTCGCCTCCCCAGGCACACACATGCTTGTTAGTCCGGCTTATATCACAGCTATATCATCACAGCATAGCAAAAATTTAGGACTTCAAACATCTCTAGACAAAAAATTATTGATTTTCAAGCTTCGTGCCCATTGAGACTTTTGATCAGGATACCAAGGACTATAACATACTGCAATTTCAACGAATTTAACCGGGGGCCACTTTCCATAAGGTTTGTGCGGGGTCCTTTTGTCAACCGAATTACACTACAGAAGATAAAGAATACAGTTCATTGAACTTTCAATCCACTAATAGAATATATAGACTTTTTCAAATGTTAAGTATAGTTTACACGATGTTAAGATGTTAAGATGTTAAAATGTGGTTTACACGATGCTTTTTTACTAGCTATTAGCACGCTAGTGCGCTAGCAGCTAGTGAAAAAACATCGTATATTTTAAAATGCGGGTAAGTTAGCATGTTTTTTTCTCTCTCTAACTAGTATGCTAGTCAAGTTAAAATATTTCAACTTCATTAGTTGCTAGCGCACTAGCATGCTAGTAACTAGTAAAAAAGCATCGTGTAAATTACATTTTAACATCTTACGTCCCACCAAAATTCTAATCACCAATTAAAGAATCAAAAAATCTTAGATGCTAAGAAATTCGCCCCATCGAAATCAAAAGAACAAATTAACTCTTTTTTTTTACCGACTTCTTTTTATTTTTCTTTCCATTTTATATACTTGTATACTTTCCTGTATTAAATAATGTTTATTGCATAACAATAAATTAATATTGCATAATATAATTAAAATTAAATAAAGTAAAATTATATAAGTTGAATTGCAAAATAAATAAATAATTCTAAAATATAATAAATATTACAGCATTAATTTTTATATTCCAATAATAAAATATATGTCAATTCACTTATATATATATATAAATGCTAAACAAAAATTGTTTTTTAAGTAAGATTTAAACCAGCAATATGCAGAATACTAGCAAGGTACCTTACCTACTAAGCTACGCCGCTTAGTTGTCAATTCGTTATTAGTGCTCAGTAGATTATGCACATGTAAATGTTTAAACGCATTTTTCTCGCTTATTCTTGAGAGTTGCATTGTATCGCAAATTAGTAGGGGAGGAGGGGGGGGGGTGTGCTACTACACATATATAAAATTGGGCAAAATCGGAGATGTCTGGTGTTTCCCTTGCAGGGATCAGCATCATCGATATTTTCAATAATAATTTCAGCTTTGATTAACAATTAGATAATCAATAATCAAACTCGAAAATTATTTGATTACTCGATTAACCAATAATCAAAGCGAAAAATTATTTAATTACTTTATCAATCAGTAATCAGAAAATAAAATTTTTGATTACTTGATTAATCGGTAATCAAAGCGAAAAATTGTTTAATTACTTTATCAATCAGTAATCAGAAAATAAAATTTTTGATTACTTGAATAATCGGTAATCAGGAGGAAATAATTTCAATTACTTTATCGATCAGTAATCAAAATTGAAAATTTTTTTGTTACTTGATTTTTTTTAATCGGTAATCAGAAGGAAATAATTTCAATTATTCAATAATCAAGATCTAATGTTTCAATTACATAGAGAAATAAGGAATAAATTCAACGAAATATTTTTCTAATAAAATTAATTGAATTAATTAGAACTTTTTATGACTGATAAAGGAATAGTTCAATTAACAAAATAATTTCTCCATTTTCAATGAACTAATATATTTAATGTGAATGAAAGTCTGCGTTTATTTAAAAAAATATTTTGCAAGATCCAGTGATTGCTTCTCTCAATGCAATATCTAAAGTAAATATTTAGTGAATGATATATAAAGAAATATGCCAAATTGATGAGAATTGACAGAGTAATGACCTTGATAATATATACAGGGTGTCCGGTAACTCACGGACCAACGCTCGTGAGCGAATAAAGCACATTAAACAGAACAGAAAAGTTCTTTACCATTTTGCAATTCTCGCAATAATTATTTAAGTATTAATTAAAAAAGATTCCCAAATAAGCGCGCGGCTAGACCGTAGGATGTAACTATAGGATGTAACTGTAGGCTTCTGCTCGCTTGCTACTGTTCGCACATCTGCGATTCCCGAATAAACGCGCGGCCAAACATTTCGTTGCCGTGCGATGTGCGACTCACCGCTATGACGCCTACAGTTATATCCTACGATCTAGCCGCGCGCTTATTCAATATTAACACTTTTATGCACAAAATAATGAGAGGAATCAATTGGTGTAAAAAAAATATGTAGCAGATATATCATATCATATTTTATTCATTATTTTGTACATAAAAGTGTTGAAGTAAGATGATTGAAAAATAAATATTTAACAAGATATTTCATAGTTTATGTCAAATTATGTCAAATTAAAGTATAAAATATCTCGTAACCTATTCAATTTTTGGCCATTCTACCCTTATAACTTTTTACGACAAATATTGCGAGAAATCGATTTATATAAAAAAATTAGAGTAATTAAAAAAAATGAGGATGACCTTCAAATCTCCGAAGCGCCTCCATCCAAGATCAAACTAATATCCCTATCTTTTTTCCCCCTCCAAACCCTACAACTTTTATTTGAAACATTTTTTTATTTAACGCGGTGTTTCCGAGATATTTGAGTGAATCATTTAAAATGGGACACCTTGTATAACGTATGTGACTCATATAACACGGAACGTATCCCCCGTGTTATACGGGGATCTACTGTATATTATATATTATTTACTAATTCTTATTACGTACGATATACATATTAATTGTTTATACATACTAATTTATTATACATACTAATTCTTATTTATACTATAATACTTAAACCGCAATAAATAAAAAATATTTACCTTTCACGTTGAATTGATATATAGCGCCAGTTTTGTTAACTAGTTCGCTATTTAAATTTGCGTCGATGGCACTAAATATACGTGCTACCTGTCCAGTTTCATTGCTGCTAGTTTTGTCAAGATGTTTCGTTTTCTCATCTTGGACATTTGGAATGTTGTCACCCAGAAAGAAGTCCAACATTAAATTGTCCTTGTTTGCTGAAAAAAAATATTTTAAATGCTTATGTTATTATAATAATAACAAAAAACATAAAAAATAAACCGTTGTAAATTTAAATAATTGTTATAAAAAATTACAGCTGATTATTTTGATCGCTTTGATAATTCTAGTGTTAATTAGGGGCAGATATAAAGAATATGAGAAAATTTGGAAAAGAATGGAAGAAAAGAATATGATTATTTAATAAATTAGTTTAAACAATGATGGAATACGTAGTAAAGATTTGAGGATGGAAGGAAAGAAAGGGAACATAGGAAAGTTGGAAAAAAAATATTTGAAGTGAATATTAAGAATAGACAGGGAAACACTTGACACACTAATAAAAAAGAGATTACAGAGGCATAAACCAAGAAATAAGATGGGAAAAAGACAAAAGTGTGAGTAAAAGTTGGAAAAGGGAAAAGAGAAGTGAATTGGCAAAAAGATGCTTAAAAGATATAAGAGAAAATAATAAGGGAGAGAAATATATTAAGATAGGAGAAAGAGAGAAAAGAATTCTTCAGAGATAGAAAGATGGTGTTGGAGGAGGTCAAAAGCACAAAAAGAAAGAAGGGAAAGTATGAGTAGATAGAAACAAAAGATATATGTATAAGGGCAAAAAACAGAAAAATAAGGAAAGATATTAAATTTAAGCTAATGGCATAAAAAAGTAAGATAAGCAGAATATTTGAAAAAAAGATGAAGAGAAAGTAATTGGAAGAGGTGAGATTTAGGATTGACAATGAGGAAAGGAAGAAAGAAATAAAAAAAGAAGATGTAGATTATGTAAGAATGAGACGGAATCATGACTAGATGTATGAGACAAATGTAGAGTGATGGAAGAGGAAATTTGCAAGAGATGTATAGTCAAATCTTGAGAAACGACAGAAAAAAAGAGAGATGGATGAGAGAAATTATAATTATTAAAATAGAAGTTAAATAAGAAGAAATACGTAGGAGATAAGCTTTTGGATAAAAATTTAGATTAGTATGAGTAATGCATGCACGTGTATAGCTAAATGCTTACAAGGGGAACATCAGACATTGAAATCACTGATTTTGCTGAATTTTTTATATAATATAGTACTACTCTCACACTAAATCGTGGTGAAGCGTTATGACGCAACTCTCAAAAATAAGCGAGAAAAACATATTTAAAGATTTACGTACGCGTAATCTACAAAACGCTAAGAACGAATTGGCGGCTAAGCGGTGTGGCCTAGTGAGTAAGGCGCCTGTTTCTGCATATTGCTGGTTCAAAACTCATTTTGTCAAACCTTTTTTTTCTGCATTAAAGTGAATTTTTATTATTTTTACTGAAAAATAAATGTTTTTATTAGATTATTTATTATCTTTCACAATTATTTTATTTATATGCATTACAAGTTGTTAATATAATTAATTTAATTTTAAGTTATGCAATGTTTAATTTTCTAACGCAATAAACATATAATCGGAAACTATACAAATAATATAAAAAAGAAAGGGAAGTAAAAGAAAATTAATAAAAAACTTTGAATTTCTTTTTACATCTATAACTCATAACGTTTTTAGTTGAAATTCGTTACTAATACAAGAATAAAAATCGTGGCAAAAGTAAAAAGTAATTTGAAATTTATTGCTAATAAATTTTCATTAAATTGTTTATTGCATTAGAAAATTAAACATTGCATAACTTATAATTAAATTAATTATGTTAATCACTTGTAATGTATATAAATGAAATAATTGTAAAAGATAATAAATAATATAATAAAAAATTTATTTTTTAGTTAAAATAATAAAAATACACTTCAATGTTATAAAAATGTTATAAGAATTTATTTTAATGTAGAAAAAAAAGTTTGACAAAATAAGTTTTGAACTAGCAATATGCAGAGCCAGGCGCCTTACTCACTAGACCACACCGCTTAGCGATGAATTATAATCAGCGACCCCAAAACCTGCACATCATATTTTTTTTTTCAATTTTCCTTTGTAGGACCACTTATATAGAAATAGGGAAGAAATCGTAGTTACTACCCTTAAAAATGCCCAATAAAAAAAAACAGAAACTATTATTTTGGTGTTCTATACAGGGTGATTCAAAATAACCTGATGTCCTTGCAATGCCATATTCTTGAGCAAATTCTGAGACGATTTTTTCTTTTACAAAATTTTGTCCGAAGCTTAGTTTTCGAGTTATAATTGAAAATAGGTAGCAACT